GGAAATGAGGGAGTGAACTTGTGCATCGTTGCTGTACACCTGAAATGCATGTGGGAAATTCAAGGCAGGTGTACAGCAAAGATGCACAAGTTCACGCCCTCATTTCCTAAATGGGTGTAGCCTCACTGTAAAGAAAGCAGTATGACATCCCTAGGCGCACACATCCATGCACACCAGTTTTGCAAGCTTAATTCTCTCGTACCACCCAGCAGCCACTGATCTGCCTCATACACACGCACAAATATTTTCACACACTGCAGAACAAGTTCTACTGATGCAACAATATGCTGCGTACCCATTAATTGGCTCACCGGACACAAACACTCACACTCACAAATATTTAAAGGGCTGTGTTCAGTGGGAATGTCGTTATTGTTCCCTCTCTGCTCCTCACACCCCGCCTGCCCTGTGTCAGTATTACGGAGCAGCAGACACATGCGTTCTCACACTCCATTAATCTGCTCCCATGAGACTCGGTGACTTTCTGAGATGATGAAAGTGTGAGAAACTCCTTCCTGCTGCTTCTCTTGATCCTGTTCTGGTCTGTTTGGCAGAGATTAATTCTAATTAATGAGCTAATCATCAGAGATCTAAGTGCTAAATGCTTCTGGCTATGACATCTGTGACCTGTATGCCCCCTCCACTTCCAGATCATATGTAAATAATAGTGTGAGAGGAACTGTGTGTATGTGTCTGGGCTCTGTCCTTCAGTGGCTGATGGTGCAAAACTTGGTTTAAAAGTTTTAAAATGTCTCATTAGAATTATAAAATCCACAAATGACCTTTAACATGCCGCTTGACAAAAGTTTCTCATACACTCAAACCAGACCCTAGTAAATAAGTTTGTATTAAAGTATTACATAACAGATGTGCTTGTTTTAACTTGTTTCAGAGCTGGTTTAATAAAGGAATAAAGTTTGCTTTTTAGTCAGACATTGTATTTCAGATTACAGTGACTTAAACCTCAATTTCACACTTTAATATGAAATAAGCTGCTGATGGCCGGAGAACTCTTTTTGTTTTTGTTTTTTTAAAAAGCACACCTGTCATTGCCAGGAACATCATCAGTAGCCTAGACAAGCAAATGGCTGTCCAGTCGGCTTGCCTGATAGGTGAACAGAGTCTGAGCCATCAGCTCTCCCTGCCAGGTTTACTAGGTTTAAGTTAGACACTCACAATTTTGTTGAGTCGGGAGTTTGCCAACAAAACTTTAGGATGATGCACTCAATGTTGCTTCTCTGCAAAATTCACT